GGGAGATGGATTAGAGAGGTGGGAGATGGATTAGAGAGGTGGGAGATGGATGGGACAGGTGAGGGACAGGTGAGGGACAGGCGGGGCCCACGGTCTGAACCGACGCGCACTGCAGGTCCCGGGGCAGCTGGGCTGCACAGGTGGGACAGGTGGGACAGGTGGGACAGGTGAGACAGGTGGGAGATGGATGGGACAGGTGAGGGACAGGTGAGGGACAGGCGGGGCCCATGGTCTGAACCGACACACACTGCAGGTCCCGGGGCAGCTGGGCTGGACAGGTGGGACAGGTGGGACAGGTGGGACAGGTGGGAGATGGATTAGAGAGGTGGGAGATGGATTGGACAGGTGAGAGATGGATTAGACAGGTGATAGATGGATGGGACAGGTGGGAGATGGATGGGACAGGTGAGGGACAGGTGAGGGCACGCACGGTCTGAACCGGCGCACACTGCAGGTCACGGGGCAGCTGGGCTGGACAGGTGAGACAGGTGGGACAGGTGGGACAGGTGGGAGATGGATGGGACAGGTGGGAGATGGATTAGAGAGGTGGGAGATGGATGGGACAGGTGGGAGATGGATGGGACAGGTGAGGGACAGGTGAGGGACAGGCGGGGCCCACGGTCTGAACCGACGCACACTGCAGGTCCCGGGGCAGCTGGGCTGCACAGGTGGGACAGGTGGGACAGGTGAGACAGGTGGGAGATGGATTAGACAGGTGGGAGATGGATTAGAGAGGTGGGAGATGGATGGGACAGGTGAGGGACAGGTGAGGGACAGGCGGGGCCCACGGTCTGAACCGGCGCACACTGCAGGTCCCGGGGCAGCTGGGCTGCACAGGTGGGACAGGTGGGACAGGTGGGACAGGTATGGGACAGGTGAGACAGGTGGGAGATGGTTTAGAGAGGTGGGAGATGGATGGGACAGGTATGGGACAGGTGAGGGACAGGCGGGGCCCACGGTCTGAACCGACGCACACTGCAGGTCCCGGGGCAGCTGGGCTGGACAGGTGGGACAGGTGAGACAGGTGAGACAGGTGGGACAGGTGGGACAGGTATGGGACAGGTGAGACAGGTGGGAGATGGATGGGACAGGTGAGGGACAGGTGAGACAGGTGGGAGATGGATGGGACAGGTGGGAGATGGATGGGACAGGTGAGAGATTGTTTAGAGAGGTGGGAGATGGATGGGACAGGTGAGGGACAGGTGAGACAGGTGAGAGATGGTTTAGAGAGGTGGGAGATGGATGGGACAGGTGAGACAGGTGGGACAGGTGGGAGATGGATTAGAGAGGTGGGGATGGATGGGACAGGTGAGGGACAGGTGAGGGACAGGCAGGGCCCACGGTCTGAACCGACGCACACTGCAGGTCCCGGGGCAGCTGGGCTGGACAGGTGGGACAGGTGGGACAGGTATGGGACAGGTGAGGGACAGGTGAGACAGGTGGGAGATGGATGGGACAGGTGGGAGATGGATGGGACAGGTGAGGGACAGGTGAGGGACAGGCGGGGCCCACGGTCTGAACCGACGCACACTGCAGGTCCCGGGGCAGCTGGGCTGGACAGGTGGGACAGGTGAGACAGGTGAGACAGGTATGAGACAGGTGGGACAGGTGGGAGATGGATTAGAGAGGTGGGAGATTGTTTAGAGAGGTGGGAGATGGATGGGACAGGTGGGAGATGGATTAGAGAGGTGAGGGATGGATGGGACAGATGAGGGACAGGTGAGGGACAGGTGGGACAGGTGAGACAGGTGTGAGATTGTTTAGAGAGGTGGGAGATGGATGGGACAGGTGAGAGATGGATTAGACAGGTATGGGATGGATGGGACAGGTGAGGGATGGATGGGACAGGTGGGAGATGGATGGGACAGGTGGGAGATGGATGGGACAGGTGAGGGATGGATTAAACAGGTAGGACAGGTGAGACAGGTGGGACAGGTGGGACAGGTATGGGACAGGTGAGACAGGTGGGACAGGTGGGACAGGTGAGACAGGTGGGACAGGTGAGACAGGTGGGAGATGGTTTAGAGAGGTGGGAGATGGATGGGACAGGTGAGGGATGGATGGGACAGGTGAGGGACAGGCGCGGCCCACGGTCTGAACCGACGCACACTGCAGGTCCCGGGGCAGCTGGGCTGCACAGGTGGGACAGGTGGGACAGGTGAGACAGGTGGGAGATGGATTAGACAGGTGGGAGATGGATGGGACAGGTGGGAGATGGATTAGAGAGGTGGGAGATGGATGGGACAGGTGAGGGACAGGTGAGGGACAGGCGCGGCCCACGGTCTGAACCGACGCACACTGCAGGTCCCGGGCAGCTGGGCTGGACAGGTGGGACAGGTGAGACAGGTGGGACAGGTGAGACAGGTGGGAGATGGATGGGACAGGTGAGGGACAGGTGAGGGACAGGCAGGGCCCACGGTCTGAACCGACGCACACTGCAGGTCCTGGGGCAGCTGGGCTGCACAGGTGGGACAGGTGGGACAGGTGAGACAGGTGGGAGATGGATTAGAGAGGTGGGAGATGGATGGGACAGGTGAGAGATGGATGGGACAGGTATGGGATGGATGGGACAGGTGGGAGAGGTGGGAGATGGATTAGACAGGTGAGGGATGGATGGGATGGATGGGACAGGTGAGGGACAGGTGAGGGACAGGCGGGGCCCACGGTCTGAACCGACGCACACTGCAGGTCCTGGGGCAGCTGGGCTGGACAGGTGGGACAGGTGGGACAGGTGGGACAGGTGAGACAGGTGGGAGATGGATTGGACAGGTGGGAGATGGATGGGACAGGTGATACAGGTGAGACAGGTGGGACAGGTGAGACAGGTGGGAGATGGATTGGACAGGTGGGAGATGGATGGGACAGGTGGGAGATGGATGGGACAGGTGAGGGATGGATGGGACAGGTGAGGGATGGATTAGACAGGTATGGGGTGGATGGGACAGGTGGGAGATGGATGGGACAGGTGAGGGATGGATGGGACAGGTGGGAGATGGATGGGACAGGTGAGGGACAGGTGAGGGACAGTTGGGACAGGTGGGAGATGGATTACACAGGTGGGAGATGGATGGGACAGCGATGGGATGGATGGGACAGGTGAGGGATGGATGGGACAGGTGGGAGATGGATTGGACAGGTGAGGGATGGATTAAACAGGTAGGACAGATGAGACAGGTGGGACAGGTGGGACAGGGGGTGGATGGGACAGGAGGGACAGGACACACCTGGGACACACCTGGGACACACCTGGGACACACCTGAGCTCCATGAGGAGCTCCAGGAGCACCTGCAGACCCACCTGGGACACACCTGGGACACACCTGAGCTCCATGAGGAACCCAAGAAGCTCTTTGAAAGTCACCTGAGGACACACCTGAGCTCCATGAGGAGCTCCAGGATCACCTGAGACCCACCTGGGACACACCTGGGACACACCTGGGACACACCTGAGCTCCATGAGGACCCCAAGAACCACCTGAGACCCTCCCAGCTGTCCCCCCCAGGTACCTCCAGGTGACTTGGTGGTGCCCCATCCGGACACGCTGCAGTTCATGCCCTCTCGAGGACAGGTGGTGGCACACCTGGGACACACCTGGGACACACCTGGGACAGGTGACACACCTGGGACACACCTGGGACACACCTGGGACACACCTGGGACTCACCTGGGACAGGTGACACACCTGGGACACACCTGGGACACACCTGGGACACACCTGGGACACACCTGGACCTCATAAGGACCCCAAGAAGCACCTGCAGACCCACCTGAGACCCCCAGCTGTCCACCAGGTACCTCCAGAGTGACTTGGAGAGCCCCATCCGGACACGCTGGGTACATCACTCTCGAGGACACGTGGTGGCACACCTGGGACACACCTGGGACACACCTGGGACACACCTGAGCTCCATGAGGACCCCAAGAAGCACCTGCAGACCCACCTGGAACCCACCTGAGCTCCATTAGGAACCCAAGAAGCTCCTGCAGACCCACCTGGGGCACACCTGAGCTCCATGAGGAGCTCCAGGAGCACCTGGGACACACCTGGACCTCATAAGGACCCCAAGAAGCACCTGCAGACCCACCTGAGGACACACCTGAGCTCCATGAGGAGCTCCAGGAGCACCTGGGACACACCTGAGCTCCATGAGGAGCTCCAGAAGCACCTGCAGACCCACCTGAGAACCCCCCAGCTGTCCCCCCCAGGTACCTCCAGGTGACTTGGTGGTGCCCCAACCGGACACGCTGCAGTTCATGCCCTCTCGAGGACAGGTGGTGGCACACCTGGGACACACCTGGGACACACCTGGGACACACCTGGGACACACCTGAGCTCCATGAGGAGCTCCAGGAGCACCTTTAAAGTCACCTGAGACCCACCTGAGACCCACCTGGGACACACCTGGGACACACCTGGGATAGGTGACACACCTGGAACCCAACTGAGCTCCATGAGGAGCTCCAGGAACACCTGCAGACCCACCTGGGACACACCTGGGACACACCTGGGACACACCTGAGCTCCATGAGGAACCCAAGAAGCACCTGCAGACCCACCTGGGACACACCTGGGACACACCTGGGACACAGCTGGGACACACCTGGGACACACCTGAGCTCCATGAGGAGCTCCAGGAGCACCTGGGGCACACCTGGGACACACCTGGGACACACCTGGGACACACCTGAGCTCCATGAGGAGCTCCAGGAGCAGCTGGGACACACCTGGGACACACCTGAGACACACCTGAACTCCATGAGGAGCACCTGGGACACACCTGGGACACACCTGGGACACACCTGAGCTCCATGAGGAGCTCCAGGAGCACCTGGGACATATCTGGGATACACCTGAGCTCCATGAGGAACCCAAGAAGCACCTGCAGACCCACCTGAGACACACCTGGGACACACCTGGGCTCCATGAGGAACCCAAGAAACACCTGCAGACCCACCTGGGACACACCTGGGACACACCTGGGACACACCTGAGCTCCATGAGGAACTCCAGGATCACCTGCAGACTCACCTGGAACCCACCTGAGCTCCATGAGGAGCTCCAGGAGCAACTGGGACACACCTGGGACACACCTGAGCTCCATGAGGAGCTCCAGGATCACCTGCAGACCCACCTGGAACCCACCTGAGCTCCATGAGGAACCCAAGAAGCACCTGCAGACCCACCTGAGGCCCCTCCCACCCCCAGCTGTCCCCCAGGTACCTCCAGGTGACTTGGTGGTGCCCCACCGGGACACGCTGCAGTTCATGCCCTCTCGTGGACAGGTGGTGGCACACCTGGGACACACCTGGGACACAGCTGCGACACACCTGGGACACACCTGGGACACACCTGGGACACACCTGGGACACACCTGAGACACACCTGGGACAGGTGACACACCTGGGACAGGGGACACACCTGGGACACACCTGGGACACACCTGGACCTCATAATGACCCCAAGAAGCGCCTCCAGACCCACCTGAGGACACACCTGAGCTCCATGAGGAGCTCCAGGAGCACCTGGACCCACCTGAGACACACCTGGGACACACCTGGGACACACCTGAGCTCCATGGGAACCTCCAGAACCACCTGGGACACACCTGCAGGACACACCAGGTGACACACGTGGTGCCACACCCGGACACGGTGCAGTTCATGCCCTCTCGTGGACAGGTGGTGGCACACCTGGGACACACCTGGGACACACCTGGGACACACCTGAGCTCCATGAGGAGCTCCAGGAGCACCTGGGACACACCTGGGACACACCTGAACTCCATGAGGAACCCAAGAAGCACCTGCAGACCCACCTGGGACACACCTGGGACACACCTGGGACACACCTGGGACACACCTGGACCTCATAAGGACCCCAAGAAGCACCTGCAGACCCACCTGAATCCCACCTGAAATCCATGAGGAACCCAAGAAGCACCTGCAGACCCACCTGAGACACACCTGGGACACACCTGGGACACACCTGGGACACACCTGAGCTCCATGAGGACTCCAAGAACCACCTGAGACCCTCCCACCTGTGCCCCCCAGGTACCTCCAGGTGACTTGGTGGTGCCCCACCCGGACACGGTGCAGTTCATGCCCTCTCGTGGACAAGTGGTGGCACACCTGGGACACACCTGGGACACACCTGGGACACACCTGGGACACACCTGGGACACACCTGAGCTCCATGAGGAGCTCCAGGAGCACCTGGGACACACCTGGGACACACCTGAGCTCCTTGAGGAGCTCCAGGAGCACCTGAAAGACATCTGGGACACACCTGGGACACACCTGGGACACACCTGAGCTCCTTGAGGAGCTCCAGGAGCACCTGAGAGACGTCTGGGACACACCTGGGACACACCTGGGACACACCTGGGGACACACCTGGGACACACCTGGGACACACCTGACCCCCCTGAGACCCTCCCAGCTGTCCCCCCCAGGTACCTCCAGGTGACTTGGTGGTGCCCCACCCGGACACGCTGCAGTTCATGCCCTCTCGAGGACAGGTGGTGGCACACCTGGGACACACCTGGGACACACCTGGGACACACCTGGGACAGGTGACACACCTGGGACACACCTGGGACACACCTGGGACACACCTGACCCCCCTGAGACCCTCCCAGCTGTCCCCCAGGTACCTCCAGGTGACTCTGGTGCTGCCCCATCCTGGGACACACCTGCAGGTTCATGCCCTCTCGTGGACAGGTGGTGACACACCTGGGACACACCTGGGACACACCTGGGACACACCTGGCACACACCTGAGCTCCATGAGGAACCCAAGAAGCACCTGCAGACCCAACTGAGGACACACCTGAGCTCCATGAGGAACCCAAGAAGCTCTTTGAAAGTCACCTGAGGACACACCTGAGCTCCATAAAGAGTACCTGGGACACACCTGGGACACACCTGAGCTCCATGAGGAACCCAAGGAGCTCCTCCAGACCCACCTGGGACACACCTGGGACACACCTGGGACACACCTGGGACACACCTGAGCTCCATGAGGAGCTTCAGGATCACCTGCAGACACACCTGAGACCCACCTGGGACACACCTGGGACACACCTGGGACACACCTGGGACACACTTGAGCTCCATGAGGAACTCCAGGAACACCTGAGGACACACCTGGGACACACCTGGGACACACCTGAGCTCCATGAGGAACCCAAGAAGCTCCTCCAGACCCACCTGGGACACACCTGGGACACACCTGGGACACACCTGAGCTCCATAAGGACCCCAAGAACCACCTGAGACCCTCCCAGCTGTCCCCTCCAGGTACCTCCAGGTGACTTGGTGGTGCCCCACCCGGACACGCTGCAGTTCATGCCCTCTCGTGGACAGGTGGTGGCCAGGCGGATCCTCTTCACCTGGGGCCCGAAGCGGACAGGTGAGTCGAGCAGGAGGAGCATGAAGTCGTTGTCGTTGCGCCGGGGGTCGTACCTGGGGTGCACCCGCAGGCGCCGCACGCGCCGCACCTGCCCCGAGCCCGCCCGCAGCGACGTCGTCCCGATCAGCACCTGCAGGTCCCTGCAGGGGGGACAGGTGACAGGTGAGGTGACACCTTGGGACAGGTGAGATGGGACAGGTGATGTCGTCCCGATCAGCACCTGCAGGTCCCTGGAGATGGGACATGGACAGGTGAGATGGGACATGGACAGGTTAGATGGGATGGGACAGGTGAGATGGGACAGGTGAGATGGGACAGGTGACGTCGTCCCGATCAGCACCTGCAGGTCCCTGGAACGGGGACAGGTGAGATGGGACAGGTGAGATGGGACAGGTGAGATGGGACAGGTGAGATGGGACATGGACAGGTTAGATGGGACAGGTGAGATGGGACAGGTGAGATGGGATGGGACAGGTGAGATGGGACAGGTGACGTCGTCCCGATCAGCACCTGCAGGTCCCTGGAACGGGGACAGGTGACAGGTGAGATGGGACAGGTGAGATGGGACAGGTGAGATGGGATGGGACAGGTGAGATGGGATGGGACAGGTGAGATGGGATGGGACAGGTGACGTCGTCCCGATCAGCACCTGCAGGTCCCTGGAGATGGGACATGGACAGGTGAGATGGGATGGGATGGGACAGGTGAGGTGACACCTTGGGACAGGTGAGATGGGACAGGTGACGTCGTCCCGATCAGCACCTGCAGGTCCCTGGAACGGGGACAGGTGACAGGTGAGATGGGACATGGACAGGTTGGATGGGACAGGTGAGATGGGATGGGACAGGTGAGATGGGATGGGATAGGTGAGATGGGACAGGTGAGATGGGACAGGTGAGATGGGACAGGTGACGTCCCGATCAGCACCTGCAGGTCCCTGCAGATGGGACATGGACAGGTGAGATGGGACAGGTGAGATGGGACAGGTGACGTCGTCCTGATCAGCACCTGCAGGTCCCTGGAGATGGGACATGGACAGGTGAGGTGACACCTTGGGACAGGTGAGATGGGATGGGACAGGTGGGATGGGACAGGTGAGTTGGGACACCTTGGGACAGGTGAGATTGAACAGGTGAGATGGGTCAGGTGAGATGGGATGGGACAGGTGACGTCGTCCCGATCAGCACCTGCAGGTCCCTGGAATGGGGACAGGTGACAGGTGAGATGGGACAGGTGGGATGGGATGGGACAGGTGAGATGGGATGGGACAGGTGAGGTGGGATGGGACAGGTGAGGTGGGACATGGACAGGTGAGATGGGACAGGTGAGATGGGACAGGTGAGATGGGACAGGTGATGTCGTCCCGATCAGCACCTGCAGGTCCCTGAAATGGGGACAGGTGAGATGGGATGGGACAGGTGACAGGTGAGGTGACACCTTGGGACAGGTGAGATGGGATGGGACAGGTGAGATGGGACATGGACAGGTGAGATGGGATGGGACAGGTTAGATGGGATATGGACAGGTGAGGGGACAGGGGGGATGGGACATGGACAGGTGAGATGGGACATGGACAGGTGAGATGGGACAGGTGAGATGGGACATGGACAGGTGAGATGGGACATGGACAGGTGAGATGGGACAGGTGGGATGGGACAGGTGGGATGGGACATGGACAGGTGGGATGGGACATGGACAGGTGAGATGGGACAGGTGAGATGGGACAGGTGACATCGTCCCGATCAGCACCTGCAGGTCCCTGCAGGGGGACAGGTAAGATGGGACATGGACAGGTGAGGTGACACCTTGGGACAGGTGAGAGGGGACAGGTGAGAGGGGACAGGTGAGATGGGACAGGTGAGATGGGACAGGTGAGATGGGACAGGTGAGGTGGGATGGGACAGGTGAGATGGGACATGGACAGGTGAGATGGGACATGGACAGGTGAGGTGGGATGGGACAGGTGAGATGGGACAGGTGAGATGGGACAGGTGAGGTGGGACAGGGGACAGGGACAGGTGAGATGGGACAGGTGACGTCGTCCCGATCAGCACCTGCAGGTCCCTGCAATGGGGACATGGACAGGTGACATGGGATGGGACAGGTGAGATGGGGACATGGACAGGTGAGATGGGACAGGTGGGATGGGACAGGTGGGATGGGACATGGACAGGTGGGATGGGACATGGACAGGTGAGATGGGACAGGTGGGATGGGATGGGACAGGTGACATCGTCCCGATCAGCACCTGCAGGTCCCTGGAGATGGGACATGGACAGGTGAGATGGGATGGGACAGGTGAGATGGGACAGGTGGGATAGGACATGGACAGGTGAGATGGGACAGGTGAGATGGGACAGGGACAGGTGAGATGGGACAGGTGAGATGGGATGGGACAGGTGAGATGGGACAGGTGGGATGGGACAGGTGAGATGGGATGGGACAGGTGGGATGGGATGGGACAGGTGAGATGGGACAGGTGAGATGGGACAGGTGAGATGGGATGGGACAGGTGAGATGGGACAGGTGAGATGGGACAGGTGAGATGGGACAGGTGAGATGGGATGGGACAGGTGAGATGGGATGGGACAGGTGAGGTGGGACAGGTGAGATGGGACAGGTGAGATGGGATGGGACAGGTGAGATGGGATGAGATGGGACAGGTGAGATGGGTCAGGTGAGATGGGACAGGTGAGAGGTGGGATGGGACATGGACAGGTGAGGTGGGACAGGTGAGATGGGACAGGTGAGATGGGACAGGTGAGATGGGACAGGTGAGATGGGACATGGACAGGTGAGATGGGACAGGTGAGATGGGACAGGTGAGATGGGACAGGTGACGTCGTCCCGATCAGCACCTGCAGCTCCCTGCAGGGGGGACAGGGGAGGGGACAGGTGACACCTTGGGACAGGTGAGATGGGACATGGACAGGTGAGAGGTGAGATGGGACATGGACAGGTGAGGTGGGACAGGTGACATCGTCCCGATCAGCACCTGCAGGTCCCTGGAATGGGGACAGGTGAGATGGGACATGGACAGGTGAGATGGGACAGGTGGGATGGGACAGGTGAGATGGGACAGGTGACGTCGTCCCGATCAGCACCTGCAGGTCCCTGGAAAGGGGACAGGTGAAGGGACAGGTGGGATGGGACATGGACAGGTGAGGTGGGACAGGTGACGTCGTCCCCAAAATGTCCCAAAATGACCCAAAATTACTCAAAATGTCCCCCAAATGACCCAAAATGTCCCCAAAACGTCCCTAAAATGTCCCGAAAATGACCCAAAATGATCCAAAATTTCCCCAAAACAACTCAAAACAACCCCAAAATGACCCAAAATGTCCCCAAATGTCCCCCAGGTGTCCCCAGACCCCCTCAAAGTGTCCCCAAAACGTCCTCAAAATGACCCCAAAACGTCCCCGAAAATGACCCAAAATGACCCCAAAATACCCCAAAATGACCCAAAACGACCCAAAACAACTCAAAATGACCCAAAACGACCCAAAATGACCCAAAATGACCCCTCACCTGAGTGGCTGCCTGCAGTGAGCCGCTGTGAGCACCCAGCGGTCCTCCAGGAGGTGTCCCCAAATGTCCCCAAAACGACCCCAAAACATCCCCAAAACAACCCCAAAATGACCCAAAACAACCCCAAACAACCCCAAAACGACCCCAAAATGACCCAAAATGACCCAAAATGACGCAAAATGACCCCAAAATGACCCAAATGTCCCCCAGGTGTCCTCAGACCTCCTCAAAACGTCCCCAAAACACCCTCAAAACGTCCCTCAAAGCGCCCTCAAAACGTCCTCAAAATGACCCCAAAATGACCCAAAATGACCCAAACTTTCCCCAAAATTTGCCCAAAATGACCCAAAATGTCCTGAAAATGACCCAAAATGACCCAAAATGACCTAAAATGTCCCCAGAACCCCCCAGGTGTCCCCAAAATGTCCCCAAAGTGACCCCAAAACATCCCCAAAGTGTCCTCAAAAAGTCCCTCAAAACGCCCTGAAAACATCCCCGAAAATGACCCAAAATGACCCAAAATGTCCCAAAATGACCCAAAATGTCCCCAAAAAGTCCCCCAAATGTCCCAAAATGTCCCTTAGGTGTCCTCAGACCCCCTCAAAACGTCCCCAAAGTGTCCCCAAAAGTCCTCATAACGACGCCAAAACGCCCTGAAAACATCCCCGAAAATCACTCAAAATAACCCAAAACAACCCCAAAATTTGACCAAAATTTGCCCAAAATGACCCAAAACATCCCAAACTGTCCCCAAAATGTCCCCTCACCTGAGTGGCTGCCTGCAGTGAGCCGCTGTGAGCACCCATCGATCCTCCAGGAGGCTCCCCCAAATGTCCCCAAAACGTCCCCAAAACACCCTCAAAACAACCCCAAAATGACTCAAAACAACCCCAAAATGACCCAAAATGACTCAAAATGACCCAAAATGACCCAAAACGTCCCCAAATGTCCCCCAGGTGTCCTCAAATGTCCCCAAAACATCTCCAAAGTGTCCCCAAAAAGTCCCCAAAACACCCCCAAAACGTCCCCATAAATGATGCAAAAAGTCCCCAAAACGTCCCCGAAAATGACCCAAAATGACTCAAAATTTCCCCAAAACGACCCAAAATGACCCCAAAATGACCCCAAAATGACCCAAAATGTCCCCAAAATGACCCAAAATGTCCCCAGAGCCCCTCAGGTGTCCTCAGACCCCCTCAAAACGTCCCCAAAACACCCTCAAAACATCCCCATAAACGCCCTCAAAACGATCCCAAAATGACCCCAAAATGACCCAAAATGACCCAAAACGACCCAAAACAACCCCAAATTTGCCCAAAATGACCCAAAATGTCCCGAAAATGACCCAAAACGACCCAAAATGTCCCCAAATGTCCCTCAGGTATACCCAGAGCCCCCAGGTGTCCCCAAAACGTCCCCAAAGTGTCCTCAAAAAGTCCTCATAACGTCCCCAAAATGACCCTAAAAAGTCCCTAAAAAGTCCCCGAAAATCACCCAAAATGACTCAAAATGACTCAAAATTTCCCGAAATTTGCCCAAAACATCCCAAACTGTCCCCAAAATGTCCCCTCACCTGAGTGGCTGCCTGCAGTGAGCCGCTGTGAGCACCCAGCGATCCTCCAGGAGGCTCCCCCAAATGTCCCCAAAACGTCCCCAAAACACCCTCAAAACGACCCCAAAATGACTCAAAATGACCCAAAATGACTCAAAATAACCCAAAATGACCCAAAATGTCCCCAAAATGACCCAAAATGTCCCCAGAGCCTCCCAGGTGTCCTCAGACCCACTCAAAATGTCCCCAAAGTGACCACAAAATGCCCTCAAAATGTCCCTGAAAATGACCTGAAAATGACCCAAAATGACTCAAAATTTCCCCAAAACATCCCCAAAATTTGCCCAAAATGACCCAAAATGTCCCCAAAATGACCCAAAATGACCCAAAATGTCCCCAAAACCCCCAGGTGTCCTCAAAACGACCCCAAAACGCCCTCAAAATGATGCCAAAATGCCCTGAAAACGTCCCCAAAATGCCCTGAAAACATCCCCGAAAATGACCCGAAATGACCCAAAACAACCCCAAAAAAACCCCAAAACGACTCAAAATGACCCAAAACATCCCAAATTGTCCCCAAAATCCCCTCACCTGAGTGGCTGCCTGCAATGAGCCGCTGTGAGCACCCAGCGATCCTCCAGGAGGCTCCCCAAAACGTCCCCAAAACAACCCCAAAAAACCCCCCAAACATCCCTAAAACGTCCCCAAAATGACTCAAAATGACCCAAAATGTCCCCAAATTTCCCCAAAATGACCCAAAATGTCCCCAGAGCCTCCCAGGTGTCCTCAGACCCCCTCAGATGTCCCCAAAACACCCTCAAAACGTCCCTCAAAACGCCCTGAAAACATCCCCGAAAATGACCCGAAATGACCCAAAACAACCCCAAAATGACCCCAAAATGACCCAAAATGACCCAAAACGTCCCAAAATGTCCCCAAAATTCCCCTCACCTGAGTGGCTGCCTGCAGTGAGCCGCTGTGAGCACCCATTGATCCTCCAGGAGGCTCCCCCAAATGTCCCCAAAACATCCCCAAAACGACCCCAAAATGACCCCAAAATGACCCCAAAACGACCCAAAATGACCCGAAAATGACCCAAAATGACCCCAAAATTTGACCAAAATTTGCCCAAAATGACCCAAAACGTCCCCAAATGTCCCCCAGGTGTCCCCAGAGCCCCTCAGGTGTTCTCAGACCCCCTCAGATGTCCCCAAAACGTCCTCAAAACGACCCCAAAACGCCCTGAAAACGTCCCCAAATGACTCAAAATGACTCAAAATTTCCCCCAAATGACCCAAAAAGTCCCCAAAAGTCCCCAAATTTCCCCAAATGTCCCCAAAATGACCCCAAAATGACCCAAAATGACCCAAAAAGTCCCTCAGGTGTACTCAGAGCCCCTCAAAATGTCCCCAAAACGTCCCTAAATTGTCCCTAAACGTCCCCAAAATGACTCAAAATTACCCAAAATTTCCCCAAAATGACCCAAAACAACCCCAAATTTGCCCAAATTTCCCCAAACTGTCCCCAAAATCCCCTCACCTGAGTGGTTGCCGACAATGAGCCGCTGTGAGCACCCATCGATCCTCCAGGAGGCTCCCCCAATGTCCCCAAAACATCCCCAAAACACCCTCAAAACAACCCCAAAATGACCCAAAACAACCCCAAAATGACCCAAAATGACTCAAAATGACCCAAAATGTCCCCAAATTTCCCCAAAATGACCCAAAATGTCCCCAGAGCCTCCCAGGTGTCCTCAGACCCCCTCAAAATGTCCCCAAAGTGACCACAAAATGCCCTCAAAATGTCCCTGAAAATGACCCAAAACTGACCCCAAAATGACCCTAAAACGTCCCTGAAAATGACCCCAAAATAACCCAAAACAACCCCAAAATGACCCAAAATTTGCCCAAAATGACCCAAAACGTCCCCAAATGTCCCCCAGGTGTCCCCAGAGCCCCTCAGGTGTCCTCAGACCCCCTCAGATGTCCCCAAAACGTCCTCAAAATGACCCCAAAACACCCTGAAAACATCCCCGAAAATGACCCGAAAATGACCCAAAATGACCCAAAATGACCCAAAACAACCCCAAAACAACCCAAAACAACCCCAAAAAAATCCCAAAATGACCCAAGAAGTCCCCAAATGTCCCCAAAACGACCCAAAATGTCCCCAAATGTCCCCCAGGTGTCCCCAAAATGACCCCAAAATGCCCTCAAAACGACCCCAAAACGCCCTGAAAACCTCCCCGAAAATGACCCAAAATGACCCAAAATTTCCCCAAAATGACCCAAAAAGTCCCCAGATGTCCCCAAAATGACCCAAAATGACTTAAAATGTCCCCAAGTGTCACCAGGTGTCCTCAGACCCCCTCAAAATGTCCCCAAAACGACCCTAAAATGACTTCCCTAAAAAGTCCCCGAAAATGACCCAAAATGACCCAAAATGACCCCAAAAAGACTCCAAAAAAAACCAAATTTGCCCAAATTTGCCCAAACTGCCCCCAAAATGTCCCCTCACCTGAGTGGCTGCCTGCAATGAGCCGCTGTGAGCACCCATTGATCCTCCAGGAGGCTCCCCCAAATGTCCCCAAAACGACCCCAAAACACCCTCAAAACGTCCCCAAAATGACCCCAAAATGACCCAAAATGACCCAAAATGACCCAAAATGACTTGAAATGTCCCCAAAATGACCCAAAATGTCCCCAGATGTCCCCCAGGTGTCCCCAAAACACCCCCAAAATGACCCTAAAACGTCCCTGAAAATGACCCGAAAATGACCCAAAATGACTCAAAATGTCCCCGAAAATCACTCAAAATAACCCAAAACAACCCCAAAATTTGACCAAAATTTGCCCAAAATGACCCAAAATGTCCCCAAAATGACCCCAAATGTCCCCAAATGTCCCCCAGGTGTCCCCAGGTGTCCTCAGAGTCCCAAGGTGTCCCCAAAGTCCCCTCAGATGTCCTCAAAACGCCCTCAAATCACCCCAAAACGACCCAAACCAACCCCGAAAATGACCTGAAAATGACCCAAAATTTCCCCAAATTTGCCCAAAACGTCCCAAATTGTCCCCAAAATGACCCCTCACCTGAGTGGCTGCCTGCAGTGAGCCGCTGTGAGCACCCATCGATCCTCCAGGAGGCTCCCCAAATGTCCCCAAAACGTCCCCAAAATGACCCCAAAATGACCCAAAACAACCCCAAAATGACCCCAAAATGACCTCAAAATGACCCAAATTTCCTCAAAATGACCCAAAATGTCCCCAAATGTCCCCCAGGTGTCCCCAGAGCCCCCCAGGTGTCCTCAAAATGTCCCCAAAACATCCCCAAAATGCCCTCAAAACATCCCCAAAACGTCCCTAAAACATCCCCGAAAATGACCCAAAATGACCCAAAATTTCCCCAAAATGACCCAAAAAGTCCCCAGATGTCCCCAAAATGACCCAAAATGACTTAAAATGTCCCCAAGTGTCACCAGGTGTCCTCAGACCCCCTCAAGATGTCCCCAAAACGACCCTAAAACTTCCCTAAAAAGTCCCTGAAAATCACCCGAAATGACCCCAAAATGACCCAAAACAACTCCAAAAAAACCCGAAAACGACCCAAAACGACTCAAAAAGACTCAAAATGACCCAAAATGACCCAAAATGTCCCCTCACCTGAGTGGCTGCCGACAATGAGCCGCTGTGAGCACCCAGCGATCCTCCAGGAGGCTCCCCCAAATGTCCCCAAAACGTCCCCAAAATGTCCCCAAAACGACCCCAAAATGACCCCAAAACAACCCCAAACAACCCCAAAACGACCCCAAAATGACCCAAAATGTCCCAAAATGTCCCCAGAGCCCCCCAGGTGTCCCCAGAGCCCCCCAGGTGTCCCCAAAACATCCCAAAATGACCCAAAACATCCCAAAAGTGTCCTCAAAAAGTCCTCATAACGTCCCCAAAACGTCCCTAAAAAGTCCCTAAAAAGTCCCCGAAAATCACCCAAAATGACTCAAAATGACTCAAAATTTCCCCAAATTTCCCCAAATTTGCCCAAATTTCCCCAAATTGTCCCCAAAATGTCCCCTCACCTGAGTGGCTGCCTGCAGTGAGCCGCTGTGAGCACCCATTGATCCTCCAGGAGGTGTCCCCAAAACGACCCAAAATGACCCAAAAAATCCCCCAAATTTGCCCAAAATGACCCTAAAATGACTCAAAATAACCCAAAATGACCCAAAAGTCCCCAAATTTCCCTAAAATGACCCAAAATTCCCCTCACCTGAGTGGCTGCCTGCAGTGAGCCGCTGTGAGCACCCACCGGTCCTCCAGGAGGCTCCCCCCGCACAGGATTTGACCCCTCTTGGTCAGAGCCACCTGAAAGGGACGCTCGGTGCGGGAGCAGGGACGGCCCCCAATCACCCTGGACTCGTCCTCCTCGGGCACTGCAGGGGTAATTAATGACTAATTAATGACTAATTAATATGGGAAATAATGGGGGAATAATCAGGAATAATTGGGGAATTAATGGGGCATTAATGGGGCATTAATGGGGCATTAATGGGCGAGCAGGGCCGGCCCCCGATCACCCTGGACTCGTCCTCCTCGGGCACTGAAAGGGGTAATTAATCAGTAATTAATTAGTAATTAATGGGTAATTAATGGGGAATTAATATGGGAAATAATGGGGGAATAATGGGGATTTTATTGGGGGATTAATGGGGCATTAATGGAGCATTAATGGGGGATTAATGGGGGATTAATGGGACATTAATGGGGCATTAATGGGGGATTTAATGGGGTATTAAAGGGGGATTGATGGGGGATTAATGGGGGATTAATGGGGGATTAATGGGGATTAATGGGGATTAATGGGGAATTAATGGGGATTAATGGGGATTAATGGGGGATTAATGGGGGATTAATGGGGGAATAATGGGGGATTATTGGGGGATTAATGGGGGATTAATGGGGCATTAATGGGCGAGCAGGGCCGGCCCCCGATCACCCTGGACTCGTCCTCCTCGGGCACTGGAGGGGGTAATTAATGGGTAATTAATTAGTAATTAATGGGTAATTAATATGGGAATTAATGGGGGAATAATGGGGGAATTAATTGGGGATTAATGGGGGCATTAATGGGGCATTAATGGGGCATTAATGGGCGAGCAGGGCCGGCCCCCGATCACCCTGGACTCGTCCTCCTCGGGCACTGAAAGGGTTAATTAATTAGTAATTAATGGGTAATTAATGGGGAATTAATATGGGAAATAATGGGGGATTAATGGGGGATTAATGGGGGATTAATGGGGGATTAATGGGGCATTAATGGGCGAGCAGGGCCGGCCCCCGATCACCCGGGACTCGTCCTCCTCGGGCACTGGAAGGGGTAATTAATGGGTAATTAATGACTAATTAATGGGTAATTAATGGGGAATTTATAGAAATTAATGGGGGATTAATGGGGAATTAATGGGGGATTAATGGGGCATTAATGGGGCATTAATGGGCGAGCAGGGCCGGCCCCCGATCACCCTGGACTCGTCCTCCTCGGGCACTGGAAGGGGTAATTAATGACTAATTAATGGGTAATTAATATGGGAATTTATAGAAAATAATGGGGGATTAATGGGGGATTAATGGGGCATTAATGGGGCATTAATGGGGCATTAATGGGGCATTAATGGGGCATTAATGGGGCATTAATGGGGCATTAATGGGGGATTAATGGGGCATTAATGGGGGATTAATGGGGGAATTAATGGGGGATTAATGGGGCATTAATGGGGGATTAATGGGGATTAATGGGGGATTAATGGGGGATTAATGGGGGATTAATGGGGCATTAATGGGGGATTAATGGGGGATTAATGGGGCATTAATGGGGGATTAATGGGGGATTAATGGGGAATTAATGGGGATTAATGGGAATTAATGGGGATTAATGGGAGCATTAATGGGGGATTAATGGGGGATTAATGGGACATTAATGGGGGATTAATGGGGGATTAATGGGGCACAATGGGGATTAATGGGGAAATTAATGGGACATTAATGGGGGATTAATGGGGGATTAATGGGGGATTAATGGGGGAATCAATAGGGAAATAAAGGGGGAATTAATGGAGAAATAAAGGGGAAATTAATGGGAAAATGGGGGAAATTAATGGGGAAATGGGGGGAAATAATGGGAAAATGGGGAAAAATAATGGGGGAATTAATGGGAAAATGGAGGAAATTAATGAGGAAATTAATGGGGAAAATTAATGGGAAAATTAATGGGAAAATGGAGAAAATTAATGGGAAAATTAATGGGAAATTGGGGAAAAATTAATGGGAAAATTAATGGGGAAAAGGGTAAAAATTAATGAAAAAATTAATGGGAAAATGGGGGAAATTAATGGGAAAATTAATGGGAAAATGGGGAAAAATAATGGGAAAATTAAGGGGAAAAATTAATGGGAAAATTAATGGGAAAATTAATAGGAAAATAATGGGGAAAATTAATGGGAAAATTAATGGGAAAATGGGGAAAATTAATGGGAAAATTAATGGGAATATGGGGGGAAATAATGGGAAAATTAATGGGAAAATGTGGAAAAATTAATGGGAAAATAATGGGGAAATTAATAGGGAAATTAACGGGACAATTAATGGGGAAAATTAATGGGAAAATGGGGAAAAATTAATGGGAAAATTAAAGGGAAAATGGGGGAAAATAATGGGAAAATAATGGGAAAATGGGAAAAATAATGGGAAAATTAAGGGGAAAATGGGGAAAATTAATGGGAAAATTAACAGGAAAATGGGGAAAATTAATGGGAAAATTAAAGGGAAAATGGGGAAAAATTAATGGGAAAATTAATGGGAAATTAAGGATGAAATTAAGGGGAAAATTAAGGGGAAAATGGGGAAAAATTAATAGGAAAATCAATGAGAAATTGGGGAAATTAATAGGAAAATTAATGGGAAAATTAACAGGGAAAATGGGGAAAATTAACTGGAAAATTAATGGGAAAATGGGGAAAAATTAATGGGAAAATTAAGGGGAAAATGGGGAAAATTAATGGGAAAATTAATGGGAAAATTAATGGGAAAATGGAGAAAAATTAATGGGAAAATTAATGGGAAAAATAATGGGAAAATTAATGAGAAATGAAGGAAAATTAATGGGAAAAATTAACGGGAAAATAATGGGGAATATCAATGGTAAAATGGGGAAAATTAATGGGAAAATAATGGGGAAATTAACAGGAAAATGGGGAAAATTAATGGGAAAATTAATGGGAAAATAATGGGAAAAATTAAGGGGAAAATGGAGAAAATTAATGGGAAAATGGGGAAAATTAATGGGGAAAATAATGGGGAAATTAATGGGGAAATGAAGGAAAATTAATGGGAAAATTAATGGGAAAATGGGGAAAATTAATGGGGAAATGGGGAAAATAAAGGGGAAAATTAATGGGAAAATGGGGAAAATTAATGGGGAAATTAATGGGAAAATTAATGGGAAAATGGGGAAATTAATGGGGAAAATTAATGGGGAAAATTAATGGGAAAATGGAGAAAATTAATGGGGAAATTAATGGGAAAAATAATGGGAATATGGGGAAAATTAATGGGAAAAATTAATGGCAAATTAATGGGAAAATGGGGAAAAATAATGGGGGAATTAATGGGAAAATGGGGAAATTAATGGGAAAATAATGGGAAAATTAATGGGAAAATTAAAGGGAAAATGGGGGAAAAATAATGGGAAAATTAATGAGAAAATTAACAGTAAAATGGGGAAAATTAAGGGGAAAATTAATGGGAAAATGTGGAAAATTAAGGGGAAAATGGATAAAAATGGGAAAATTAAGGGGAATATGGGGAAATTAATGGGAAAATTAATGGGGAAAATTAACAGGAAAATGGGGAAAATTAATGGGAAAATAATGGGGAAAAATAATGGGAAAATTAATGGAAAAATTAATGGGAAAATTAATGGGAAAATGGGGAAAATTAATGGGAAAATAATGAGGAAATTAAGGGGAAAATGGGGAAATTATTGGGGAAAATAATTAGGAAATTAACGGGAAAACAATGGAAAAATGGGAAAATGGGGAAAATTAACGGGAAAATTAAAGGGAAAATTGGGGGAAATTAATGGGGAAATTAATGGGAAAATGGGGAAAATAATGGGGAAATCAACAGGAAAACAATGGGAAAAAATTAATGGGAAAATGGGGGAATTAATGGGAAAATGGGGAAATTAATGGGGAAAAATAACGGGAAAATTAATGGGAAAATGGGGGGAAATTAATGGGAAAATAATGGGGAAAATTAACAGGAAATTGGAGAAAAATTAATGGGAAAATAATGAGGAAATTAAGGGGAAAATGGGGAAACAAAGGGGAAAAATTAATGGGAAAATTAATGGGAAAATGGGGAATATCAATGGTAAAATGGGGAAAATTAATGGGAAAATTAATGAGAAAATGGGGAAAATTAACGGGAAATTGGGGGAAAATTGGTAAAAATTAATGGGGAAATTAATGGGAAATTGGGGAAAATAATGGAAAAATTAATGGGAAAATTAATGGGAAATTGGGGAAAAATAATGGGAAAATTAACGGAAAAATGAGAAAAATTAATGGGAAAATTAATAGGAAAATGGGGAAATTAATGGGAAAATTAATGGGAAAATGGGGAAAATTAACGGGAAATTGGGGAAAATTAATGGAAAAATTAATGGGAAAATTGGGAAAATTAATGGGAAAATTAATGGGAAAATAATGGGAAAATTAATGGGAAAATTAATGGGAAATTGGGGAAATTAATGGGAAAATGGGGAAAATTAATGGGAAAATAATGGGGAATATTAACAGTAAAATGGGGGAAATTAATGGGAAAATTAATGGGGAAATTAATGGGAAATTGGGGAAAATAATGAGAAAATTAACAGTAAAATGGGGAAAATTAAGGGGAAAATTAACAGGAAAATGGAGAAAAATAATGGAAAAATTAATGGGAAAATAATGAGGAAATTAATGGGGAAATTAATGGGAAAATTAACAGGAAAATGGGGGAAAATTAATGGGGAAATTAATGGGAAAATGGGGGAAAATTAATGGGAAAATTAATGAGAAAATTAATGGGAAAATGGGGAAATTAATGGGAAAATTAATGGGAAAATTAAAGGGAAATTGGGGAAAATAATGGAAAAATTAATGGGAAAATGGGGGAAATTAATGGTAAAAATAATGGGAAAATGGGGAAAAATTAATGGGAAAATTAATGGGAAAATTAATGGTAAAATGGGGAAAATTAATGGGAAAAATGGGGGAAAATTAAAGGGAAAATGGGGAAAAATTAATGGGAAATTGGGGAAAATAATGGAAAAATTAAGGGGAAAATTAACAGGAAAATGGGGAAAATTAATGGAAAAATGAGGAAAAAAGGGAGGAAATTTCCCAATCTAAAAAGGGCTGGAATTTCCTGCCCTTCCCACCTTTTTTTCCCATCATTCCCAACATTCCCAACATTCCCAACATTCCCAAGATTCCCAAGATTCCCAAGATTTCCAAGATTTCCACTCACGCTCCTCTCCATCTTTTCCCACGGCCTGGCCGAGGAATCCCGGGATGAGGAGCAGGAAAAGGAAAGGGGTGAAAGTTCGGGATCCTTCTGGAATCATTCCTAGGAAAAAAAACAACTTGGGAATTCCAGGAATTTCTGGGGATTTTCACTTTTGGTTCTCGTTCCTGGTGGGAATTTTTTTTGGGAATAAAAAGGGGGAAAAAGGGAGGGATTGAGGGGGGAGGGGGGAATTTTTGGGAATCTTTGGGAATTCCTGGATTTTGGGGTGAGGGAGGGTTGGGAATTCCTTGGATATTCCTGGGATTTTAAGGTGGGGATTCCTGGGATTTTGGGGTGGGGGAGGTTTGGAATTCTTGGATATTCCTGGGATTTTAAGGTGGGGATTCCTGGGATTTTAGGGTGGGGAGGGGTTTGGAATTCCTTGATATTCCTGGGATTTTAAGGTGGGGATTCCTGGGATTTTGGGGGAATTCCTGGGATTTTGGGGGGAGGGGGAATTTTTGGGAATTTTTTTGGGAATTCTTGGGATTTTGGGGTGGGAATTCCAGGATTTTGGGGTTGGAATTCTCGGAATTCCAGGAGTTGGGGTGGAATTCCTGGGATTTTTGAGGGGGGAATTCCCGGGATTTTGGGGGTGGGGAGGGGTTGGAATTCTTGGGAATTCTTTGGAAATTCCTGGGATTTGGGGTGGAATTCCGAATTTGGGGTTGAATTCCTGGATATTCCCAGATTGGGTGGAATTCTTGGGAATTCCTGGGATTTGGGTGGGGAGGGTTGGGAATTCCTGGGAATTCTTGATATTCCCAGGATTTTGGGGTGGGAATTCCTTGGGATTCCCAGGATTTTGGGGTGGAATTCCTTGGGAATTTGGGTTGGAATTCCTTGGGAATTCCTGTTTTGGGGTGGAATTCTTGGGAATTCTGGGATTTTGGGGGAATTCCCAAGATTTGGGGTGGGGAGGGTTGGAAACTCTGAATTCTTTGGGAATTCCTGGGACTTTGGGGTGGGAATTACAAGGGTTTTGGGGATGGGAATTCTTTGGGAATTCCTGGGATTTGGGGGGAGGAATTCCCAGGATTTTGGGGTGGGAATTCCTTGGGAATTCCTGGGATTTTGGGGTTGGAATTCCTTGGGAATTTCGGGTTTGGAATTCCTTGGGAATTCCCGGGATTTTGGAGGGGAATTCCTTGGGAATTCCCGGGATTTTGGGGGTGGGAATTCTTTGGGAATTCCTGGGATTTTGGGGTTTGGAATTCCTTGGGAATTCCTGGGATTTTGGGGTGGGAATTCCCGGGATTTTAGGGTGGGGGAGGGGTTTGGAATTCTTGGGAATTCTTTGGGAATTCCCGGATTTTGGGTTTGGAATTCCTTGGGAATTCCTGGGATTTAGGGGAATTCCTGGGATTTTGGGGTGGGGAGGGTTAGAATTCCTGGGAATTCTTGGGAATTCCCAGGATTTTTGGGGGAATCCTTTGGGAATTCCCGGGATTTTGGGGTGGTGGAGGGCTTTGGAATTTCTTGGGAATTCTTTGGGAATTCTTGGGATTTTGGGGGGGGGAATTTCCAGGATTTTGGAATGGGAATTCCTTGGGAATTCCCAGGATTTTGGGATTGGAATTCCTTGGGAATTCCCGGGATTTTGGGGTGGGAATTGTTTGGGAATTCCTGGGATTTTAGAGTGGGAATTCCTTGGGAATTTGGGGAGGGAATTCCTTGGGTATTCCTGGGATTTGGGGGTTGGAATTCTTTGGGAATTCTGGGATTTTGGGGGGGAATTCCCGGGATTTTGGGGTGGGGATTTTTTGGGAATTCCTGGTATTTTGGGGTGGGAATTCTTGGGAATTTGGGGTTTGGAATTCTTGGGAATTCCGGGATCTGGGGGAGGGAATTCCTTGGGTATTCCCAGGAATTTTGGGGGGAAAATTCTTGGATATTCCCAGGATTTTGGGGTGGGAATTCCTTGGGAATTCCCGGGATTTTGGGGGAATTCTTAGAATTCCTGATTTTGGGTGGAATTCTTGGGAATTCCTGGATTTTAGGTTGGGAATTCCTTGGGAATTCCTGGGATTTTGGGGGGGGAATTCCCGGGATTTTGGGGTGGGGGAGGGATTGGGAATTCCTGGGAATTCTTTGGGAAATCCTGGGATTTTGGGGTGGGAATTCCTTGGGAATTTTCAGATGGATCAGACCCTTTGAAAAAGGGGGAGAAATCCCAGGAATTCCCAGGAATTCTGGGATGGATCAGAGCCCTTGGAAAAGGGAGGGAAAGGGGGGAGAAATCCCAGGAATTCCCGAGAATTCCCAAATGGGAAAGAGGGGAAAGGGGGGGAAAAAAGGGGGGGAGAAATCCCAGGAATTCCCAGGAATTCTAGGATGGATCAGAGCCCTTGGAAAAGGGAGGGAAAGGGGGGAGAAATCCCAGGAATTCCTGGGAATTCCCAGAAGAAAAAGGGGGAAAAAAGGGGGGAAAAAGGAGGGAGAAATCCCAGGAATTCCCGGGAATTCCCAGAAGAAAAAGGGGGAAAAAAGGAGGGAGAAATCCCAGGAATTCCCGGGAATTCTGGGATGGATCAGACCCCTTGGAAAAGGGAGGGAAAGGGGGGAGAAATCCCAGGAATTCCCGGGAATTCCCAGAAGAAAAAGGGGGAAAAAAGGAGGGAGAAATCCCAGGAATTCCCAGGAATTCTGGGATGGATCAGACCCCTTGGAAAAGGGAGGGAAAAGGGGGGAGAAATCCCAGAAATTCCCGGGAATTCCCAGAAGAAAAAGGGGGAAAAAAGGAGGGAGAAATCCCGAGGAATTCCCAGGAATTCTGGGATGGATCAGACCCTGGAAAAGGGAGGGAAAGGGGGAGAAATCCAGGAATTCCTGGGAATTCCCAGAAGAAAAAGGGGGAGAAGGAGGGAAAAAGGGGAAGGGGGAGGGAAATCCCAGGAATTCCCAGATGGAAAAGAGGGAGAGGGAGGAGAAAAGAGGGAAAAGGGGGAGAAATCCCAGGAATTCCTGGAATTCCCAGATGGAAGAGAAGGAGGAAAAGGGGGGATCCAGGAATTCGAATTCCGAGAAGGAAAGGTAAGGGAGAGGAAACCCCGGGAATTCCTGGGAATTCCCAGAAGAAAAAGGGGGAAAAAAGGAGGGAAAAAGAGGGGAAAAGGGGGAAGGGGGAGAATCCCAGGAATTCCCGGGAATTCCCAGATGGGAAATGGAGGAGAAGGAGGGGGTAAAGGGGGGGGGAAAAGGAGGGAGAAATCCCAGGAATTCCCAGGAATTCCCGAGAAGGAAAGGGGGAGAGGGGAGAGGAAACCCGGGAATTCCTGGGAATTCCCAGAAGAAAAAGGGGGAAAAAGGAGGAAAAAGAAGGGAAAAAGGGGGAAGGGGGAAATCCCAGGAATTCCCGGGAATTCCTAGGAAGGAAAGGGGGAGAAGGAGGGGGAAAAGTAGGAAGGAACCCCGGGAATTCCCGGAATTCCCACATGGAAAAGGGGGAGAGGGAGGAGAAAAAGGGGGAGGGAAATCCCAGAAATTCCTGGAATTCCCAGATCGGAAAGGGGGAGAGGAGGGGAAAAGGGGAAATCCCAGGAATTCCCTGAATTCCCAGATATTTCCCTTGGAAAAACCGGGGAGGGGGAAAGGGGGAAATCCCAGGAATTCCCGGGAATTCCCGAGAAGGAAAGGGCGGGAAAGGGGGGGAGAGGGAAACCCTGGGAATTCCCGGGAATTCCCAGAAGAAAAAGAGGGAAAAAAGGGGGGAAAAAGAGGGAAAAGGAGAGGGGGAAATCCCAGGAATTCCCGGGAATTCCCAGATGGGAAAAGGGGGGAGAAGGAGGGGAAAAAGTGGGAAAGGAAACCCCGGGAATTCCCGGGAATTCCCACATGGAAAAGGGGGAAGAGGGACGGGAAAAAGGGGGAAGGGGGGGAAATCCCAGAAATTCTCGGGAATTCCCAGATGGGAAAAGGGGAGAGAGGGAGGAGAAAAAGAGGGAAAAGGGGGGAGCGAAATCCCAGGAATTCCCGGGAATTCCCAGAAGAAAAAGGGGGGAAAAAGAGGAAGAGGGGGAGGGAAATCCCAGGAATTCCCAGATATTTTCCCTTGGGAAAAACCGAGGGGGGGGGAGGGGGGGGAAGGAGGGGAAATCCCAGGAATTCCCGGGAATTCCCAGATGGAAAAGGGGGAGAGGGAGGGGGAAAAGGGGGAAAATCCCAGTAATTCCCGGGAATTTCCAGATGGGAAAAGGGGGGAGAGGGAGGGGAAAAAGGAGGGAGAAATCCCAGGAATTCCCGGGAATTCCCACATGGAAAAAGGGGGAGAGGAGGGGAAAAAGAGGGAAAAGGGGGAGGGAAAATCCCAGGAATTCGGTGGAATTCCCAGAAGAAAAAGGGGGAAAAAAGGAGGGAAAAAGGAGGGGAAAAGGAGGAGAAATCCCAGGAATTCCTGGGAATTCCCAGAAGAAAAAGTGGGGAAAAAAGGAGGGGAAAAGGGGGGGGGAAAGGAGGGAGAAATCCCAGGAATTCCCAGAAGAAAAAGGGGGAAAAAAGGAGGGAAAAAAGGGGGAAGGGGGGGAGGGAAAATCACAGAAATTCCCGGGAATTCCCAGATGGGAAAGGGGGGAGAGGGAGAGGAAAAAGAGGGAAAAGGGGGGAGGGAAAATCCCAGGAATACGGGGGAATTCCCAGAAGAAAAAGGTTGAAAAAAAGAAGGGAAAAGGAGGGAAAAGGGAGGAGAAATCCCAGGAATTCCCGGGAATTCCCACATGGAAAAGGGGGGAGAAGGAGGGGGAAAAAGTGGGAAAGGAAACCCCGGAATTCCCGGGAATTCCCACATGGAAAAGGGGGAGAGGGAGGGAAAGGGGGAGGGAATCCCAAGAATTCCTGGAATTCCCAGATCGGAAAGGGGGAGAAGGAGGGGTAAAGGAGGGGAGAAAGGAGGGGGAAATCCCAGGAATTCCTGGAAATTCCCAGAAGAAAAATGGGGAAAAAAGGAGGGAAAAAAGGAGGGAAAAAAGGGGGAAGGGAGGGAGAAATCCTAGAATTCTGGGAATTCCTACATGAAAAGGGGGAGAAGGAGGGAAAAGGGAAAGGAAACCCTGGAATTCATGGAATTCCCACATGGAAAAGGGGGGAGAAGGAGGAGGAAAAGGGAAAAGGGGGGAGAAATCCCAGGAATTCCCGGGAATCCCGAAAAGGAAAGGGGGGGAAACCCCGGGAATTCCCGGGAATTCCCGGGAATTCCGAGCCTCACCTGACCCGGGAACGGCAGAAAAATCCGGGAAAAAAAAACCGGGAAAGGGCCAGGTGGGGAATATTTATCCCGGTGGGAGGAGGAGGAAGAGGAGGAGGAGGAAGGGAGGGAGGGAGGAGGGAGGGGAGGAGGAAGGAGGTGACGCTGCATTCCAGAGGGGCGGGGAGGTTTTTTGGGATAACGAGAACGGGAAGAGCCCCAGGGGGTTTTGTTTTGTTGATTTTTTTGGGAATGAAGACGAGCAGGACGAGCCGGGAAAGGAGGGGGAGGGGCAGGAAAGGGAGGGGTGGGAAAGGAAGGGAAGGGAAGGGTGGGGTTGGAATTCCAGGTGGGAATGAGGATGGGGTGGGGAAAGAGCCGGTTTGGGGTGTCCATCTGTCCATCTGCACGTCCATCTGTCCATCTGCACGTCCATCTGTCCATCTGCACC